GAGGGAAACAGAGGATGCTGGGAGGGGCAGGCGGGGGGTCAGGGGAGGCCCACGGTCCTGGGAAGGAGGGTGGGAATTTGGGTCAGGAAAGGCCCAACTGGGAGCCTTGTCTTCTTGGAGGGAGAGTCTATGAGTGGATGCAGATCAGATACCTCCCAGGCGAGGGAGGCACAGTGCTCGGGTGGGGCACTGGCGACGCAGGAAGCCTGTGCAATCCTGTGCATGGCGTTGATGCCGCCCCGGAAGTCATGTACCCTCTTCCTTATTCACAGCACCTCCTTTTGTTCAAGTTGTCCACTCTGCTCCACAGTCATGCGCTTCCCTGAGCCAACCGCTGGAACTGCTTTCCCTTATCGGTGCAGGACTAGCCATGTGAACCAGTTCTGACCCTTGAGACAAAGAGGGGAGGTCTGCTGACGGGGAGGGACTTCTGGCAAAATAAGAGAAGTAGAGGAAGGCACTGTCGTCTTTGCTAGGTGCTGTCAGGTCTAGATGTGGTGTCTGGAACTGCAGCAACCATGTTGTTATGGTGAGGGGGTTCGTGGAATAGAAAGATGAAAAGGACCTCAGCCCTTGATGATACCATTTTGCTCCTGAGGTCACCAACGCTGGGCCACCCTACCTTCTGATGGTTAGTTGACATAATAAATGTTCTTTCTCATTTAAACCAGTGAGTCGTTACTCGGCAGATAAACCATTACTCTGCAGATACAAGAACAAAGTTTTACCCTCACCCCCTTTTATAGATGAACAAAGTGAGATTCAGTAAAGTAAACACACTTGTCTAAAAACACACTTGTCTAAAAACACACAGCCTGGGGCCTCCCCGGTGGCGCAGCGGTTGAGCGCTGGGTTGTGAAGCTGCCCGCGGCCTCTGCGGCGCCGGTTCGATCCCCGGCTGCTCCCCGGCCACCGGAGGAGGGTCCCACATGGCGCGCAGACCTCTCCTGCCGCCCGCTGCTCCCCTCAGCAGTGTACTTCAGCCCTTCTGCCTGCTCTGCTCCCCGCTCTGGCTCTGGTGAATTCTCTCACCCTCCCGTGCTTCTGACTGTACCCAGTGCATGTATAAACAAAAAAACAAACAAATATAATAAATAAATAAATAAAAACATGCCTCTATTAAAAAAAAAAATAAATAAAAAAAAATAAAAACACACAGCCTGCATGGTGTAGAGTCAGGATCTGAACCCTCTGTCTTTGGAGGAGAAACTTTGGCAGGAGTGGGGTGTGGTGGTAACAGGGTTTTTGTGTTTTGTTTCAAACATCGTGTTTCTGGCTTTTCCAAGGCAGTGCCCATTCCATTGCTTCACACAGATGAATGGTCTCCAGCAGGTGAAGACAGGGAAGATTGGGTGGGACTGGGACTCACACCCAGGCTCATGGATTTCAGCTCAGTCTTCTCAGTATCTGGACGTGCTCAGTGACATCAGAGAGCCCCCATTTGCTCTTAGCCCCCCTCATTTTGGTCTGACCAGGGTGGGGCTGGCGATCCTGGAGAGTGGCCACCAGGGGCCGCTGTTGTTACACGCAGTGGCCTGCTCAGAGCAGGGCTGAGGAAAACTTGGAATCAAGGGGGACATGTGGTGTTGCCCTGAGGCTTTCACACTCATGAAGTTACCCCCCCCCTTCCCTCCCACGTCCACTCCCCCTGCAAGGAGAGCAGGCAGCCTGGATTCGCCACTGGAGGGTTAGAACCTCACTGCTGGGTGCCCTCAGGCAAGTTGCCTCTACTCTCTGAACCTCATTTTCTTTATTTTCAAAATGGAGGCATTCATCTCCACTCCTCAGATGAGGGTTTCCTCTCCATAGCGGGGTGGGGGGCTGGGGGGCTGGGGGGTGCCCCCATCCCCCTCCTTTGGGCATACACCCTGGACAAAGACCATTTAGGATGTGTCTCAGGCAGCGACTCTAGCACAGTTATATTCCAGTCTTTGCTCTGCCATAAACTCATTAGGCGTCTTTGTTGTAGAAACTGAGGTCTCCAGCGGAGAAGGAACTTACTCATTTCCCCCGGTTGCAACACAAGAGGTAGGACTCAGTATTTTCTGGTCTGATTTGTTCCCTGGGATGTTAAAGTAGAGAAATAAAGATGCAGATGATCAGAAGTGAGGATGCTGGTTAAAGCTGAAAGCCCAGGTATCTTGACTGCACGACTTTCCAGAACCTTTAATATGTTTAATATGCTAATATGATTTCTACATCTCCAAGGGGTGGGGGGTGGGGGATGGGGGGGTGAGGTGGGGTGATGTATAGGAATCTGTTTCTCAAGCTCCTTTGACCTGAAAACCCACTTTCCAAGATGAAAATCAGCTGGACACGGTGATGCCAGAAAAGCAACCTTTCACGTCATTGGGTGTGTTCTCTGGAACAGGACCCCTGCTGTCCAGGGGATCTGGCCAGCGTCTCCATGTTCACCCCTACCTGGCAGATGCTTGGGAATACCCGCCTCTTTCCAGCTGAGAAATAAGTCAGAGAGGGGAGGTCCTTGCCGCAGGCCACTCTCCTGCGAGGGGTGAAGGGTCAGTTCCCTCCCACAGAGCCCATCGTCCTGATCACCATCACCTGGTGCCAGGCCAGTCCTTCAAGTACCTCCCCACCCCCACCAGGTGGAGTCAGTTTTCCTGCCACTCTCTGGTAATGATAATGATGGTGATTTAAAGGAAATTCCTTTGCCTGCTGGGCTTCCACCCCCAGGCCCGTGCTGGGGTGGGGTGAAGCGGGCCCTTTAGGAGCTCTGGGGTGCACAGCCAAGCCTGGCCCCTGAGCAGGCGCACGTGAAGGCCATGGAGGCCGCGAGGACACCCAGGCCCCTGCCCGGTCCCCCTGCAGCTGGGCCGTGCCGAGCGGGGTCGAGGGCGCTGTTTGCAGGTGAGCTTTGGGGTCGAACTTGTCTCTCCTGCCCTTCCCCTGAGCTTGGGAGTGATCCAAAGACTGGCACAGGAGTCAGGGAAACACGGAGCCACCCTGAAAAGGTGAGTGAACCCTAAACACTGGCGCCTCCCTCAGTACTCGACCACGGGGCGGGTCAGATGGTGGCAAAATGGGAGCTTCTCTGGCGGTCGTGACGGCGAGTGGTGACAGAGCGGTGTGTGTGCCGGCCACGGGGCGACGGGGCAGCACCGGGCAGCACAGCTCTGGGGGTGTGAGCGCAAGACCCCAGCTCCAGCCCGTGCAGAGGAGCCGGCAGTTCTGGGGGGCAGACTGGGGCCTGTGCAGGAGGGCGCCCTCCCTCTGCCTGCGCCGCACGCCATGAAGTCCAGCGGGCGTGGGAACCGCGGCTGGACCCAGGTTTTGGAGTCAAATAGGCTGTATTTGGCGATCTGGGTAGCGGTTTTCTGTGCTCTGCAGGAGGGCAGTACCGCCTCAGGCCAGTGAGAGGCCTGCTGGCGCCAGCCTCCCTCCACCCGCAGCTGTGTGGCCTTGAGCAAATGACCGCCCTTCTCCGGATAAACCGCAGCACCTGTGTGGGGTTGCGTGGCTGTGCGGCTAAGTACTGTTCAGCGCCGAGCCCCACCAACCCGCCTGTGGAACTGTGGGTGCCAGTAAGGTCAGTGTCCCCTGAGCCGCCCCCCTCTGGGGACGGAATGGTTCAGGGTCACGCCAAGCAGTGATGTCAGGACTACGAGGTCCAGCTCACTTCAGAGGCTGGGTCCACTGTGCCCCTGCGGCCTCCCTGGGCCTGGTGGTGCCCCCAGGGGGCTTCAGCTGTGTCTGAGGGTGTGTTGGGAGGCAGCAGGGCCCTGGTGCGGGGCTCAGTGCCAGAACCTGGCTCCCGGTGACCACTGTGTACCATCCCGGGCCGTTCTCACCTTCTGTGTCCTCACCTGTAAAATGGGGATGCATGCGTTGATGGCATACCAGAGGGTTGTTGTGAGGCTGTTAGCAGAGGCCAGAAAGCATTTTCCCTGCTGCTGTTTGCATGCCGGGGTTCCTCCCAGTGCCTTCCCGCTCAGCCCTGACTTCCCAGCTCCTCACAGAGCCGGCTCCTGGTTCCAGCTCCCCAGGGCATGGGGTGATGGGCTTGGGTCATTGGCCCAGCTCAGAAGGGCCCAGGGCCTGCCTCAGACATAGCCCCGTCTTGTCCAAGCCTCTGTTTCCTTTTCCCTGGACTGCTGGTTGCTGTGAGCCCAGCATGCTCCTGGGCTCTGTGCGCCGCCAGGCTCGGGGGCCCTGGCCTTAGGGAGGTGGATGTTTCCACTGTAGCGTCACATCCAGGTTGTCCGCAATGTCCCCACCTCTGCCCCAGACTACACCCCACCAGCCACTGGCTCCACACATGGGAAGCCTCAACTGGGGGCACTCTCGGGGCCTCCCCAGTTTCCCAGCCCAGATGCCTCACCAGGCAGGCCAGGGGAGAAGAGCCAGGAGGCAGCAAAGGTGGGGACAAAATAGGAGGAAGAGCCCATGCTGTGGGGCTCGAACTCCAGCTCTTCAGACTCGCTGTATGACCTTGGGCAGGTCACTTCACATCTCTGAGCCTCAGTTCTTTCCTAGAACACCCTTTCTTTGCAAGGGTGTGACCGGGAGCCAATGACCTACAGTGTAGACGAAAATACCTAGCACACAGTAGTGCCTGTAAAGTGCTGAGCGCCTTGGGACAGACTGACGACCTGCAAACTCCCAGGTACCATGGCATGGGGTAGGTGCTGGCTGGTCAGGGAGATGGCCACGGCCCGACCATTTTGGCCTGTCCCAGCCACATGCCCCATGGAAGCTTGGAGAATGCCAGGCACAGAAGCTGGAGAGTTTAGTGGTACAGGGGGGAGCGCCACCCCCAAACCACCACCACACCATTCAGGGAACCAGCCAGAAGGGCCAGGTTCCGTTACATCTCAGCCGCTCCATGGGCCAGTCACGCACGGCGGCCTGGTGGCCATCGGCCGGGGTGCTGGAGAGAGCTGGACGAGTAAATGAGACACGCGTGCCAGCGGCCCAGCTCCGTGGGTGCCAGGAGGCGCCCGGCCTGTGTCTGCGGGGAGACGGCCCCTTTTACTCTCAAGGGGAGGAAGAAAGAACAAAACCGAGAGCTACAAAACAATCCCACAGCTGAGACACCATCTGTGTTTTCCTTTTTTTTTCTTTCTCTTCGTTTTTAAAACAATATAGTGCAGGCTGCACTTCTCACAGTAGAATATAATGGTCAATTTTAGTATAAAAAAAAAACATTCTCAGAGATTTGTAAATGCACTTAGTGCTTGAGCAGGCCTTGGAGAGAGATACAGTACCGCTTTTGGAACGCCAGAGGGGCCGGGGCGTGGGGAATACGGGCCTTGGGGACATAACAGGGGGCCCTGCCCGCCTCCCCGTACCCCTGATGGTGCGGGGCAGGCTTTGGGGGGCAGCTTGTGTGACTGGGATGGGATTGCCCATTTAAAACCAGCAGGTTTCCCCCTTGCTGGCTCCTAGGAGACCTCCCCAAGAAGGCAGAGCGAGGTCCCTCTGACCGGGGTCTAAGACCGCAGGCCCATGGGTCATCCCTAGGGTGCCTTTGTGCGAAGAGGAACCGGCACCCCTTCCTTGGGTTAGGGAAATCGCTGTAATAACTACACAAGGCTAGGGTGCAGGTGGGATCTCCCTGGACGAGGTGCCCTTGTGCAGTGCGCCGTCTGCACCCCTGTGCCCGGCAGCCCTGTGAAATGTGCTGGAGGGAAGGGGCCAGCGGCAGCCGGGGTTTGGAGGGTGGGGGATGGGAGCGTGGTTCTGTGCTGGGAAGGAATGGGGAGCGTGGGGGAGCGTGGGGGAGGGGAAGGAGAGTCTAGGGGCGGCGCGGGCGGGCTGGCAGTCCTGGGGCCTCTATGAGAGTGGTCTTCACCTGTCCTGGCCGATGAGGGGGTGCTATGGGCCCCGTGACTTCCTACAGGCCCCCTCGACTTTTCTAGGAGACTGAGGAGTCTGGGGCCAGGAGAAGCTCTCGACTTCTGAGTCGAGACCATCATCTTTCCTCCTGCCTCCCACCCTGGCCCCGGCACCTTTCCCGGGAAAAGCGAAGGGAGCCATTCCTGTTCCTCAGTGGTTTCTCTCTCCCTGTCTCTGCCAGCTTGGATGGAGGAAGGCATGGAGGTCAGCGGCTGCCTCAGGCACGCCCAGGGTCCTGGGGCAGCTGGGGGGGCCCTTAGTGAGCGAGGTCACTCTGCCGCTCCCAGATAGGCGCCTGGATGGTAGCAGCCAGCCTGGCTTCCCTGTGGGCACCAGCGGGCAACCAAGCACGGGGCAGGGCCCCTGGAGCCCCCCGCCCGCCCTGTCCTGCGGCCTGCCTCCCCCTTGGGCGCCCTGTCCGTCTGTCCGAGCGGGTGCCAGGCAGGCCTTATCTGTAGACGGGCAGGCGGATGTGGGCGTGCTGGTGGTCGAGCAGCCGGGGCACAGCCACGGTCTCGTAGCCCTTGCCCAGCATCTGCTCCTTGATGCAGGGCGGCCGGATGTCGTTGATGAGATATTCCAGCGACTGCAGGCTGCTGCTCAGCACCGACGTGTTGCACACACTCTTGCTGGGCAGGCCCGAGAGGGCCTCTGCGGTGGGCCCCGCCAGGTCCCGGGCTGCCCCCGGCCCCAGCTCGGTGACGGCCACGGCGGCCGCAGGGTTGTAGCAGTCGCTGGTGGGGGTCGCCAGCACGCTGTTCCAGGGGGCGGCGAAGTACTGGCCCACAGTGAAGCTGGCAGGCAGCCCCATGCCACAGTTGAGGGGCGATGCGGTGGCCCGCTCGTATGCCCGCCCCCCGCAAGCCTCTGGGGACTTGCTGGCCACCGTGCCGCCACTGTAGGCCCGCAGGGGCTGGGGGGGCGGTGGGGGCGGCTTCTGTGGCCACAGCAGGTAATCCAGGCCACCCTCCACATACCCCGCAGGCTTGGTGGTTCCAGCCAACGTCAAGGCCGACGTGCTCCCCTGGCCCAGCTCGGTGCCTTTTCGGCAGTCGGGCAGACCAGCAGTGGCAGAGTAGGCCATGCTGGGGAAGCTGGGCACGGGGCCGTGCTTGGCCGGGCTGGGGTGGGGAACGGCCACACCCTGACAGGCAGTGGGTGCGGCGCCCGGGGCCTGGCACTGCTGGTTGAGCTGGTAGAGGATGCTGTGGATGGAGGGCAGGTTGGAGGGTGGCAGGGGCAGGCCGCGGCTGGGCAGGGGGATGACCGAGGTGGCGGTGGCAGCCGCAGGCAGGTTGGGCGGTGGGGCAGGCGCCTCGGGCGGCTTGGGGTAGGCCAAGGGCCCCAGGGTGCTGGGCGCCGGGTAGGGAGCGATGCCCACCTGCACGGTGGCCGGCGACAGCTTGGTCCGCTTGCCCTCGGCGCTCTTGAGCACGCTCTTGGCGGGCCCGGCAGGTGCGGCCACGCCCGAGGAGGAGACGGCAGCCTTGACGATGGCCAGCAGGCCCTGGTAGCCGGCGGCGTGCGGCGGGTAGGGGCTGTAGCGCTGGCCACTGGTGTCGTAGCCGTTGACGGTGCGGCTGAGGTGCTTGTGCTGGGGCACGCGGATGTTGGTGGGGAAGATCTTGATGGACAGCGGGCTGTTGGCCACCTTCTCAGCGTAGGCGTCCAGCTCGGCCGGGCTCGGGTAGCGGGAGGCGTGCATGGAGCTCACCACCGTCTCGCCTGCGGGGCAGGTGAGGACAGGACAGCAGGTGAGAGGCCACCCTGAGACCCAGCGAGGCCTGACGGCCGCCACAACCCCTGCCCCCCAGCAGGGCCCAGGAGCTGCCCTTCCCTCTCTTCACATTCCTGCCTGCCTGCCTGCCTGCCCTCCTGCCCTCCTTCCACATTCTTAAGCTTTGGGTTGAAAAGTCAAAGACAGAAAGGAAACTGCGCGCACCGTAGGCTTGCTGAGCCCACAGCAGCAGAACATCCGTGTGACCCCCTCAGGTCAGGAAATAGGACGTTCCCAGCGCCCCGGGGCCAGTCCCCGACCCCAGCCACCCACGGCCCGCGTGCTGGCGTCGGGACCACATCGGGGCTCCTGCAGGCCGGGTCAGGCGTGGCCTCAGGCACCTGGGCGTCTGTTTGGGCGAGTCCGCAGGAGGACGCGGTGGGGGGCTCCTGCAGACGGCCCCACAGCCTGCCGGCCCTTCCTGTTGCTCAGGGCACTTGGGCCCTTCGGCTTTGGGGCTGATACAGCAGCGCCCCTGGGGCTGTATTCCCTGAGTTGTGGGGGGAGATGCTGGGAGTGGAAGGGGTTCGTTCGCCCCCTCCCGGCACTGCCCGTCCCGTGAAACCAGCATGGTGGTCACTGCCTGTCCTGTGAGCTGCCAGTGCGGGGCTGAAGGGTGCACTTGGGGTCACAGCTGACCGTTCCCACTGTCAGGTACAACTGCCGTGGGGGAGCGGGCTTGCTGGCAGACCCCTCCTCCCAGCCAGAGCCCCTCCCCAGGCCTGAACAGTTCCTGGGGCCACCCAGGACCCTGCCTAGGGCGGGGAGTGGAGCAGGGTCTGCATTCACAGCTGGAGGGCTGCGTGTGGGGCTCGGTGACCCTGGGAGCCCAGCTTCCCCACCTGTGGAATGGGGGCAGCGACTGTGCCAGGCCTGCTGGGTGGCCTTCGGGAAGGACAGCCAAGGTGGGCGGGGAGGCTTGTCCAATAGTACTGGGGGATGTGGCCGTTGGCTCTTGGCTGAGAATGTGACGTGCTCTCTGCAGCACGTGGCCTTCCTCCCTGCTTTGTGGGCGCTCTCAGAATCCAGCCATGACTCTTTGGGGTGTGGGGAGCTACACTCTTTTGAGCCTCTGTTTCCTCACCTGTAAATGGGGCTGCTGCTAAGAGGGTGGCCGTGAGGGCGCCCTAGCTATGTGCGGTGGGGCATGTCAGTGCTCGGGGGCTCCCGCTCAGGAGGGCCTGGTATTGTGGCCAGGGACCCCTCCCTCCCCCAGACTCCCCCCTTCAGAAGGCCACATGCGACACACGTCCTTCCAGAGCCTCACCCACGACCTCGTGGGCGCACAGCCAAAGGTCTGCTGTGACGGGGAGCCAGGCGGCGTGGGGGTGCAGGGAGCCTCGCCCAGTGGGGCTTCAGAGACAAGACAGCTTTCCAGAAGAAGCGCATCCTGGCCAGGGCGATGGTAAAAGGGGTGAGGCAGGAGGGGAAAACATTTTAGGCAGGAGAAACCGCATGAGCAAAGGCCCGGGGGCGAGGAAGCAGGTCGGGTGGGAACTGTAAATGATTCAGAATCAGAACAGAAGCCCAGAGCCGTGTCTGGAGAAGACCAAGGGGGGCGGGGGGAGGGGGGCGCTCCGCAGGCGGGACAGCGCTCTCTGCGGGCTTTGTCCCCCGGCACACGGGCGAGGCCAGCAGATGTGGTTGTCACAGCTGGGGGAGGGACCAGGGACTGCGGAAGGCCCTTCAGCGCACAGGACGGGGTGCAGAGAGCTGGCAGGGTGTCGGTGGCCAGGTCGGAGCAGGCCTGCCCTGGGGCTTTAGTGGACAGGTTTTGGCAGCGGAGGCGCAGGTTGGACAGGTCATTCATCTCTGCCCTGAGGTAAAGGTATGAGGTCTGACCTCACATGGCAGCAGGGACTGAAGCAAAGTGGCAGGCGGCACCGGCACCCCGGGCAGGCTGGCGGCCGAGGCCCTCATCCCTCTGGCCTAGCCAGGGCCAGGCAGGTGGAGCAGATCCTGGGCTGGACTCAGGTCCCACCCTGACCCGGCCCGGGGCAGCCCCCTCCTAAGTGGCCTAAAATAAACTCGGTGTGGAGAATGGAAATGTCACTTTGGCCAATGGGGGAATCTTTCTCCGAGATTGGATTTAAACTACATTATACAAGCAATTTCATGGGCACTTAGCGCCGCTCGGAGAGTCCCGCAAAAAAGGGAGCAGCTCTTCATTTACCAGCCATAAATCAGCAGTTGCTATAATGAGCACAAAAATGTCACTTTTATGCAATTTTACAGATGAACAAAACTGGTGAAATTAACTGTGGTAACCTACTATAGTCAGCAAAAGCGGCTGCCGGGGAAAAAAATTATATCTGTATGTATTTTTGTTCCTCTTAAACTCTCTTCCCAAGCAAGTTTCTGCCATTGTGGTGTGAAAACTCATTTGTCCTCACCATTATACTTTCATTTGGAGTTTATCTTGAGTATCCAATGAGCCACCAACTGTGAAAATGATTAAATCTACAAAATCTATCTAATGGATGGAATAAATTAGGTGTTTAAAACCTCAAGAAGGGAAAAAAGAGCAATGCCTGTTCCTTGTTCTTATTCACTGAAAGAAAGGGCCCGTCTTGGTCAGTGGGACTCAGCGAGGTGGGTTGGTCCCTCTCCCTCGAGCTGGAGCCCAAGACGGTGCCGCAGCACCAGGCTACAGTTGAGGGGAGCATGAGTGGGCCCGGCTCCCACTTGTTTGGAGCAGCCGGCAGCTCCAAGGTAGAGGTGGCCCAGTCTCGCAGCTCGGAGGTAGAGGTGGCCCAGTCTCGCAGATAAAGAAACAGATGAGCTATGGCAGGTGCCCTCCAAGGTCTCCCCCATGCACCCCGCTCCCGAGGAGTCTCCCCTCCTGGTATTCACGCCCTGGCACGGCCCCTCCCGCTCCGAGTGCGGCAGGCCTGTGTAACTTCCGAGACTGTCCAGCGCTAGGTGGTCAAGGGCCCTGTGGCTTCCTCCTCCCTCCTTCATGCTCCTCGGAGCACGTGCTCTAGGGAAGCAGCTGCCACGTGAAGACACTGGTGCAACCACGGGGAGACCCAAGAGGAGGTGACCTGAGGCCCCAGCCAGCAACCAGGTGACCCTTCTTTGAAGGTCAGGCCTTCGGGTGACTCAGCAGAGTCAGAGCAGAACTACCCAGCTAAACCGCTCCTGAATTCCTCGCCCACAGAAACCATGGCGAGGATAGGTGAGTACTGGTGTTGTAGCCGCTGGTTGGTAACTAACGCAGGTTACAGACCCCGTTTCCCAAGACCACACAGCCAGGGAGGGGCAGAGCTGCGGTCTGGACCAGGGCTGCTGCCTCCAAACCATCTCCCCCACCTGCACCCTGAGGCAGGCCTGGCCGAGATGTGCTCAGAAGTAGGACGGTCCTGAGGAAGGACCACAGGGTCAGCCCAGAGGCTCAGCCAGGCAGGAGGTGACCCAGCAGACGCCCCTCCTGCCTCAGCTCTGCCTTGCTCCCAGCGATGGCTGGCGGTCCCCGAGTCGTCTCCCCGGTAATGTGCTCAGTGCTTCAGCGCTCAGCATGTGAGGGCCTCTGGCCGGGATGTGGTCCTACGGTCACCAGAGTCCTTGCTCAAACCTGTCACTTGTGGTGCTCCCATGAGCCTTTTCCCCCAGAGATGCCGAAGTGGTGGCTTGGGCTCCTCAGGCCAGCGTGGACCAGGCCTCAGCATGGCAAAGGCTCCAGGCCCCTTCCCCACCCACCGCAGATGCACTGACACAGAAGGGCCCCACACGAAGGAGCCAGCGGAGCCAGCTGCCTGGGGGGGGGGCTTCTGAGCAGTGGGGAGGCTGGGGCCAGTGCTTCCAGGGTTAACGTGGGGCTCTGTGTGCCCACTGGGGAACCTCAGGGCCTCCCCGCCTCCCCTGATGCCTCCAGCTGGGCTGGGGGCTCTGCTGGGGTTCCGCCAGCAACTGGGCGTTGCACCACACGCACCGCGGCTGATTCTGACTGTGCTGGTTTAGGCTGCGCCCCGTGGCCTAAAGGACAACTAGCCGTTGTCGGGTGATGTGGCCAGGTTGACTCACCCGCCTGGAGCCCCTGGCCACAGCCTGGCACGAGACTTGCAACCAGGCCAGAGACACAGTCCCCAGGGAGAAGCCATCCAGAGCCATCCCAGCCCCGCGGCACCAGATACCCCCGCCCCCCGGTGCAGGCGCTGGCTCTGGAGGCACAGCCGCAGCCAGAGCAAACTAGCCCCTGTCCTCGCGGCCCACGGCCCAGCGGGCAGATGACACAGGAGCGCGGGGAAGCAGCCCCTTGAGCGATAATGGGAGGGTGTGGTGGCTTGAAAACGTGGCCACAAATCCTCCCACAGATGGCGGAGCCGAATTTTACCCTGCTGAGCAGAACGCGGCCGGCGAGCGGTTGTGCGGCTGGCTCGGCCGGGGCGTGCGGGGCCGGCTCCCGTCTGGGCGCCACGTTCTGGGCCACCCAGGCCAAGGGGAGACCCTACGTGTAGTTGGGCCGACACCCCAGCTGTGAGGGCCAGCCTTGGGGAGATCCCAGCCCCCAGCCCCGTGATGTCACGGAGCAGAGCGCCGTGTGCGCCTGGGCCCGCGTGAGGCGTCTGATGCCATGAGCGTGGGGCAGCTGGGGGGGGGGGGGCGGGGAGGGACAGGACGGGGAGGCACCTGTCCAGAGGCGGTTCAAAGGTTTCTCTCATGAAGTGGGGTTGGAGGAAAGAGCGGGAGGTGAGGAGGAGCGAGCGCCGGGGCTTGGGAGTGGGGACGCCCTCAGCAGGGGGTCGTGGGTGAGGAGCCAGAGGTGAGCTCCACTTGGAGGGGGGAGCGGAGATCCGGCCCAACTTAGGCTTTAGCGGGGTGCCTCAGGCTACTGGGTGGGAGACTGGGGGGGCAAGGAAAGGCGCATCAGGGACACTTTCTGGGGAGCGGCCGGGCTTCCAGGAGACGGAGCACCCAGGGGGCCCCCATCAGAACTGTGCCTTACTGG